ACGGCAACTCATCCTGATTGAGTTGACGGTCCCGTTTGAGTCGCGTATGGAGGAGAATCATTTGTACAAGCTCGAGAAGTACAGTGATTTAGCAGCCGGTTTGAGGAGAAACGAGGCTTACACAGTGCGGGTATTTGCCGTCGAAGTGGGAGCGAGAGGCCTCGTTTCCACTTCGCTCTACAATGTGGTGAAAGAATTAGGATTGCGCGGTAATGAACGGAAACGAACACTTAAAAAAACTGGGTGAGGCAGCCGAAAGGGCCTCGAGCTGGCTTTGGACGCAGCGCAACAACGTAGGGGACGGGCCTCGGTGAGCTGGTCCGGGTGTCTAGCGGAAAGGAGTTTCTCATCCCTTTGAAAGTCCATCGTGTACGAATTGTCTGCCAGTGTTCCTCTGCCAACTGCTAATAAAAGTCCAACATGTGTCCGGTAAACCAAAGTAAGCTTGTCGCTCGGTCGTCCAGGCATGCGGACTGTTCTAATTACGCTGTCGCGGCGGCTTCTTATCTCACAGTACCTCCTTCGAAACCACAAAGTCGTCTTGTCTCTGGCCGAGGAGCTGCGGAGGAGCACCTTTGATGATTTCTGAAGAAGTGCGTTCCAAGATCAGGTTTCCACCTGCGAGCGAGAAGGTGGTGTGGTGTAAGTTGGAGGCTACATTATGTGAGGTAATTAAACAAACTCTAAACAAGAAGTCGCTAGGCGACAAGCTTACTAAATTTGGTGATGTAATATATGAACACTGCTCCCGCGAGTTCGGGACAGTAGTAAAGGCACAGCCGGGTGCCAAGCAGAATACTAGCAGGAGGCAGAGGGACATTCTGAAGTGTCGGGCAGACAAGAATGCCTTCAGAAAACGGTTCAAAGCCGCTACGGGCAGCGAACGGGAGGGGCTGTACGAAGTGTGGGTGCATTTAAAGAACAAACACAGTGCCCTCTGTCGAGCCGAGCGTTTCTGTAACAACAGACGAAGAACCAAAAGGGAGCGAGAGAAATTCTTTAGGGACCCGTATCAGTTCGCCCGAGGTCTATTCGAGCAACCGAAGTCTGGGACTCTGGTTGTCAGTCAGGAAGAACTAGAGCTACATCTACGTAAGATGTACTCTGATAAAAAGAGGAGAGAGCCTCTCGATGACAATCCAGAGATCCTTAGCGGTCTAAAACAGCCTTCGGTGCCGAAGGTACCATTTAAAATGGTACCTCCCCTTTGGTCTGAGGTTGAGGACGTTGTGAAAAAGGCCAGCGGCAAGTCTGCCCCAAGTCCGAACGGTGTTCCGTACGTTTTTTACAAGCGTTGCCCGAAAATCCTAAAAATGCTTCACGTCTTGTTGAGACAAGCGTGGATCCGCAATCACATATGTCCAGAGTGGTCAAAGGCAAATGGGGTCTACATTCCCAAAGAGCAGGACTCGAAGAGTCTTTCCCAATTCAGGCCCATCTCGCTGTTGAATGTCGAGGGTAAGATATTCTTCTCAGTCATGGCTCGCCGGCTCACACAGTATCTGATGACTAACAAGTACATAGATACGAGTGTTCAGAAGGGTGGTATTCCAGGCGTTCCTGGGTGCCTTGAACACGCGACCATGATCTGGGAGGCTATCCAGAGAGCCAAGCATGAGAGAACCGATTTGCACGTTATATGGTTGGACTTAGCCAACGCCTACGGGGCAGTCCCCCATAGGCTACTGTGGCGAGCCCTTCGCATGTTTCACGTACCGTCACAGATCAGTCAAATGGTCGAGCAATATTTCTCTAAGTTCGCTTTGCGCTTCTCTACCTCGACGTTTACCACGAGGTGGACTGAGTTGCAGATTGGGATAGCTATGGGCTGTACGATCTCACCCATACTGTTTGTCATGGCAATGCAGATCATGTTAGACGGGGCGGCCGGCTACGGACTGGGCCTTCAAATAGGGGATCACTGGTTGCCGCCACTACGCGCATTTATGGATGACACGACTATTATAACGGGCAGCGAGGAGTCTGCCCGCACGATCCTGAATAGATTGGACGCGGTGGTCCAATGGAGCGGTATGCAGTTCAAACCGCAGAAGTCGAGGAGTCTGTCAATCCATAAGGGCAAGGTTTCGGCGACCAGTTTTACGGTGGCAAGGAACAAGATCCCTACGGTTCTGGAGGAACCGGTGAAGAGCCTCGGTCGCGTCTACGATTCGAAGTTATCTGACAGAGCGGAAGTCCGGCGAATACATGAGTCACTGGCTACAGGCCTGCTCGCGATCGAGCGATGCAGGCTGATCGGAAAATTCAAGGTATGGTGTCTCCAATTCATGTTGATTCCGAAGCTTCTATGGCCACTGCTTGTCTACGAGGTGACGATGACTGCAGTGGAAACCATGGAAAAGAAAATCAACACAGCCTTAAGAAAGTGGATTGGTGCACCGCCTTGTCTGACCGACGTGGCTCTGTATTGTAAGCAGGCTAAGCTGGTACTTCCGTTCAAGTCGATAACCGAAGAGTTTAAAGTCGGCAAAGTAAGGCTCGTCATGCTTTTGCGCGAGTCTTCAGACCCAAATGTCATCGCTGTCCAGCCCGCTCTAAAGACTGGCCAGAAGTGGAGGGTCCTCGATGCGATTGAATCTGCCCAGAACGCACTAAAATTGAGAGAGATAATGTGTTACACACAAACCGACCGTCGAGGCCTAGGGCACGGAAAAGTCAATTGGTGGTCAAAGGCCTCAGCCAAAGAACGCCGAGACATGGTGATACAAACGGTGAGGGACAACGAAAACGAGGTTCGGGTCCAGAAAGCAGCCCAACAGTCGCAGCAGGGCCATTGGGTCAGCCTGGAGAGCGCATTGCCTAGAATACTCACATGGGGTGAGATCTGGCGGATGACCCCGCTGCGACTGAGCTTTATCGTTCGTTCGGCGTACGATGTATTACCGTCCGGTGATAACATGGTTAAATGGTCTGCGACCAACGATCCGACTTGTCCGTTGTGCAAATCAAAGCAAACTCTTGAGCACGTCCTGTCCGCGTGCAGGAAAGCCCTAGGTCAAGGCCGCTATACCTGGCGCCACAACAAGGTGCTAAAGGAGTTATCAGCCGTTGTCGACCAGGCTAGAATGAGGGCTAATGCCAGAGCCAGTTCTAGTATCGCCCCCATTCGTTTCCTCAAGGCTGGGCAGGTTCCAATTGGTAAGGTCAACAAAAACGCATTCGCTCCATCTGCGCTAGACTCTGCGAGGGACTGGTTACTGGCGGTTGATCTGCCAGGCCATGAACGGTATCCCGAGTTGATCCGTAAAACCGGCCTGCGACCGGACATCGTTCTCCATTCTGCGCAAAAACGGCAACTCATCCTGATTGAGTTGACGGTCCCGTTTGAGTCGCGTATGGAGGAGAATCATTTGTACAAGCTCGAGAAGTACAGTGATTTAGCAGCCGGTTTGAGGAGAAACGAGGCTTACACAGTGCGGGTATTTGCCGTCGAAGTGGGAGCGAGAGGCCTCGTTTCCACTTCGCTCTACAATGTGGTGAAAGAATTAGGATTGCGCGGTAATGAACGGAAACGAACACTTAAAAAACTGGGTGAGGCAGCCGAAAGGGCCTCGAGCTGGCTTTGGACGCAGCGCAACAACGTAGGGGACGGGCCTCGGTGAGCTGGTCCGGGTGTCTAGCGGAAAAGAGTTTCTCATCCCTTTGAAAGTCCATCGTGTACGAATTGTCTGCCAGTGTTCCTCTGCCAACTGCTAATAAAAGTCCAACATGTGTCCGGTAAACCAAAGTAAGCTTGTCGCTCGGTCGTCCAGGCATGCGGACTGTTCTAATTACGCTGTCGCGGCGGCTTCTTATCTCACAGTACCTCCTTCGAAACCACAAAGTCGTCTTGTCTCTGGCCGAAAGTGTAACACCATCCGGTAATTCCGTGCAGCGGGGAAGCAGCCCTGAGCTTCATGAACTCAGGTGGGCCCACCTCCGAATACGTTTAGGAATCGTGGGCCGAAACGTGTGTCGAAAGAGGATAATTTCTACTGATGACTGTAGATCCCCGCTGTACTTGCTCCCTGTGAGTTTATTCTTATTGTGAATCAAAGTACAGCTGGCCGAGGGGAGCAGCTGTTGTGTAATAACTAGCACACTTGCCTGTGGGTTAATGGTCGTGCGTTAGAACTCTTAACCCCAGCATGGGGATTTGGTGCATTGACATTGGTTCCATGTAGACCCCGCTAAACTTTTTTTAGTCCCACCTTCGCTGTCTTTAATGTAGTTGTGTTATTGTCCATGATTTTGTACGCGGATCAAGGCTTCTTAGCCAAAATGGGTTGTTCCTCTATCGTAATTGTGTTTTATTTGGAAACTGAGCACATCGGCTGTTGTTTTTTATCCTCTGATAAAGACTTTATAGCTGCAACGTTTCCGTCTTTGTTTCCCAATTTTATTGGGAAGCTGGCTAGTTCTGTTTCTCGTTCAGGTGAGTCGTTTCCTCTCCAAATTAACGCGTCGTGTATAATCATCTTCTTTCTGCGAGTGTCAATCACTTTTTGTGTGATATAGCAAATTTTACATTTCGCTATCAATACTAAAGAAATGTGGCTATGTATTTTAACGACTTTACATTACAATATGTTGCCACTTTGAAAATAAAACACTCAATGTAGTTTTTCCTGTATTCAAGTTAGGCTGGCTGCTTCAAAATCTTATCGGACTTAGAAGAGTTAAAGGGGTACCAGGAAATGCTATGGAAAGTAATGGCGACATCGAGGTAACCACAGCGCCTATTGAATGCTATCGAATATACCTCACATTTGCCTCACCATATTTCTTCTTGATAAATACCAGGTGTCGAGTTTGTGTGAGTTGGTTAACCCTAAGGTCAAGTTCAAGGGCGCCGATATAAAGATTGGGAGACCTGATTGGTCAGTGAGGGGTGAGAGCAGGGCTCTTAGCCCCATTATACACCATTTGTGTTGCTCAGACTACCTAATTTTTTGTATAACGTAATAGTAAAAAAAAAAAAAAAATAACGTTCTAAATAGCAAATACTTATACATCTCAAATAAGTGACATCAATAAACAGTTACACAAAAGAAGAGCTTCTTTATTTGGTTTATGGAAACAACAACTTGATACATTTTCCAGTGATAATAATTTCCTCTCTCTCTCTCTCTCTCTCTCTCTCTCTCTCTCTCTCTCTCCCCCTCTCTCTCTCTCTCTCTCTCTCTCTCTCTCTCTCCTCTCTAACCCAACTAAATCACCCCATCCCCACCCCGGCTTTTTTCCAGTCTATTTTTAGACATTTTTTAAATAAAAGATTGGGGGAGGGGGAGGGGTTGTGGTAAGCCCACTCTTTCCCTTACTCCCTTCATTTCCTTTTCCCTAATTTTTAGCCTAGATCAAAAATGCCTAGACAGGGAGTCCGACATTATTCAACCCTGCCAATAATTATGCCCCAAAGTTGTGTTGATAAGCTGCTCGAAAAGTCAGCGTCTTTATCTAAAGACACTTTGCTGCGAGAGACGGAGCACCCATAAGAATAACCGGTGTTCTATGATGTCTATTCTTAAATTAGTCTCTTACTTTTTTTCCCTAGCCTTCACTGGCTGCAAACTCCGCTAAAAAGTGCTGGCTGCTCGTCTACTTCTTGACTTTGGTTTTGTTCCAGACTCTATTTTGCGTGCCAATTTGTTTTTACAGAAGTAGCTTGCTTGTATGCGGACTGTTGGTTCCTTGCTCTAAGGCAGATGCACTTCGACTTAGTCGCCTTGTACATGCTTGTTAGAGAGGCAATGGATCTATACAACCCCCCCCCCCCCCCCCCCCGCATTCTTTACCCCTTTAACAGAGGGCCCCAGAAGAGGAGGAGAAGGGGCAACTAGCAATTTTTTTTTTCAAAGCTGCACCTGTTACTTAGTCGGTCATCAAAGGTAGTTTTCATAAGAACGCACACACAGACACACACTAATCAGAATAGACATCGGCTTTCTTCTGTTTATAGGTTAGCTGCGTATCAGGACGTTGCAGAACCAACTCCAACAGCCCCTGGCTGTTTTGTGGTTTTTCTAGGCAAATTTTCGTCCAGTAGTTTGTCATTGCTTTCTGGACGTTCGGCTTTTCTTGATACCACTGTCGAAACCAACGTTAGGCGCATGGCCCGCAGCTCGGATCGAACCCGGCATCCCGGCATTACGAAGCGTTCGCATCGACTTAGCCACAGAGCCGACTTCTTATGTTTACACATACTATAAGGCATATTTTCTCCCCAAAGAATAAGGGATCTTTCAGACGGAACACTATTGTGTTTGTAACCAATGCTTCTAACACTAAGAAAACGTGGGGTGTCAGGGAGGGGAAAGGGAGGGAAGGTGCATCTACCACTTAACAATATTTAACAGTGAGTAGACTCATTGAGCATAAACCTCAAAGGAATACTAATAATAGCAATAACAACACACAAAATAATAGTAATAATAAAAATAATAATGATTATAGTAAAAATAGTGTGCTGAAGTGTAAAAAGCATGCAATTTTATATTTGAAATAATATATGTATTAACAAACAAAAAACAACAAACAAACAAAAAAAGATCTTAAATATCTTGTCGGCGAGGGACATCTTATTTTATGAATGACTCTTTGGCGCATCGGGTAGATAGTGCCAGACCTAAATCGGCACTGGGTGTCTGATGGTGATGGCAACCCACTGACGACCTTTACATTGTAGATAAATACACGGTACCCATTTTGTGGCTGGGTCGCTGGGAGCCAAGGTCAATGTCTTACTTTATTGGAGGGAATGGATGACCCCGAACAGGCTAGACCAGTGGTTCTCAACCTCCTTAATGCCCCGTCTCTTCAATAAAATTCCTCATGTTGTGGTGACCCCAACCATAACATTATTTTCGGTGCTACTTCATAACTTCAATGAAAAAACTGTTTCCCCCGATGGTCGTAGGCGACCCCTTTAAAAGGGGCGTTCTACCCAAAAAGGGTTGCGACCTATAGGTTGAGAACCACTGGTCTAGACTGTAGCAGGTTTGCTCCAACCAGAGAAGACGTTTGTAACCTCTATTTCACCCTTCTCATTAGCATGTCAGGATAACTGCATGAGGATTTAGTTTATCTATTTTGTTACTTGTGAGGATTTAGATTTCTACTGGAATAATGTTACTTCAGTGAATTCAGTTATTACGCTACCTATGTGTATTTCAAAATCTTAATCTGCTAAGGTTCAGCTCTGTTTGCATGTAATATTATTAATGCTTTAAGGTTTAGTTCATTCAGCTGATTATATTACCTTCTGAAGATTTAGTTCCTCGCTTTTATTGTACTATTTGTGGATTTAGTACCTTTTTCCTTAAAATGGTAACGGCTGAAGTCGCACTTCAGTCTGCTTATAATGTTAACTTGTGACGGTTTAGTTTTTTGTAAGTGCACAACTTACTTATAATACCTATGTATGCCTTTGTACAATAAGGATTTAGATTTTTGTAAGTGTACAACTAACTTATAATACCTATCTATGCCTTTGTATATTAAAGTGTATTTAATTTAGTTTATGCCTTTGTATAATAAGGATTTAGTTTTTTGTAAGTGTACAACTAACTTATAATACCTTCCTATGCCTTTGTATAATAAGGATTTAGTTTTTTGTAAGTGTACAACTAACTTATAATACCTATCTATGCCTTTGTACAATAAGGATTTAGATTTTTGTAAGTGTACAACTAACTTATAATACCTATGTATGCCTTTGTACTATAAGGATTAAGATTTGTGTAAGTGTACAACTAACTTATAATACCTATGTATGCCTTTGTACAATAAGGATTTAGATTTTTGTAAGTGTACAACCAACTTATAATACCTATCTATGCCTTTGTACAATAAGGATTTAGTTTTTTGTAAGTGTACAACTAACTTAAAATACCTTCCTATGCTTTTGTATAATAAGGATTTAGTTTTTCCTGCTAAGTGTTACTTCTCATGATTTAAATCCTCCAGTTTGTGAAGATTTCTTATGTTTATTAGGAAGATTTAGTTCTTTATTTATTGTTATGATTTATTTCCTTATGTTCATAATAATACTTGTGAGGATTATCACGTCTGCATATATTATTAGTTGTGGTGGTTTAACCCATCTTTAACAAAGGATATCATACTTTAGGAGAATATGGGAAGGAACCACATTTTAGCCTAAGAAGTGACCAGACTGGAAGTTGAAATAACTATCTTTTCGCATGAACGGTATTTATACGGAAATATTCGTAGAAAACCATAAACGAAGACTAAGTAAAACATCGACATCCAACATGATCTGAAACATCGAGGGAGAACCGATCCATAAACATCATAATGCCACGAATGCGGAGGAATTTTAGTCGTGTTAAACGCTATAGTGGCTAGGGTATAACTGTGTTGGAAGATACAGATTCAGAATAGAAAGAAAGAAAAATAGAGGCAGAATCAGAACTCTTCTAGGGAGAAAAGAAGAAGCCGAACTTTTCAGCCTCTCAGTAAAACACAGTGACGAATTATTGCGGCCAGAAAGCCTTCATGCGCATATAACACACAGAGACAATGATACAATTAATGAACATCAAAGAGTAAGTAAACAAAAAAACACAAAAAAAAAATTAGCTTTTTGGTAAAGCCTGTTAAAATATCCAGGCTTGAAAAATGAATACTTGCTAGCATGAAGGTGAGCTGTTAACGTTTATAGCTTACATAGAACAGCACATTGTGAATGAAAATTAACGTTCAAGCGATGAATTTCAGCCTGTGCAGTGCGAACAGATTATGGTGTACATGGTTGGTTTACAGTTGAATCTAGAGTGAAACAGCACTGTATTTGTTTCCATTGATCCGCGACGAATACATTTTGTGCAGGAAATACCTCCATTGACTTGGTGAAGAACGCACAGTTGAAGGATCTCAGTATTTCCAATAATACATTTTTATGCTAAGTAAAGATATCATGCACACACACACACGCGCACACATACGCGCAAACATAAGATTTAGCAAATATAGCATAAATAATTCATGGGACGACAAATATATTAAAAACATCAATAACATATAAAGTAAATTCTACAATATAGTTAACATGTCAGTTTATGTGTTAATGTAGGAATTTTGAGAGAAGAAAATATGGTAAGAAATGCAAGGCAATGTCAGTTTTGAAAAGTATGAATATGTGAACTCTAAATATTATAGTTTTATAACCAAGATAAGTATTTTCACATCTATATTATTTTAGATTTAAAAATCAAAACGCCTGTTGAAGTTTGAGAATCAATAAAGACATCAAACGATTGTTGACTGCATTAGAAAACAAAGTTAAAGTAACTGATAAACATAAAATATGATGAATTTCAGAAAGTTACAGGAATTAGAGAAATCTTATATAGGGCTCATCATAAGAAGATGCCAGCAGAGCATCACGAAAACTACATTTCAATCCATCCTTCCATCCAGTTATGGGGGAAAAAACATGTTCAGTCTACTGCAATCAAAGGAGACGAACCTAGATACTGTCCAGACCGACGACGAAGACGTCTACCGCCAAGGGAATGGACGACCCGGTCGCCGATGCACCAAAATGAGTGGCTTGGATGAGTACTGAAATACCTCTTGAGGGTTGCCCGGGAAAGAAGAGGGAGGGAAGGGTGATGTGCACCATTATCAGCACTCATGCACTATTGAGCTCTAGTGATATTTAGGAACTCCCGTGCCATTGAAGTAAAGTGCTTTTGGAATGTTGCTGATGCGAGTGCAGGGCTGTCCGTCCGCAAATGTATTAAAACAAAAATCGACGACGCTTAACCTACTGCGAGCACTATCGGCTATAGTTGTGGTCTCCTTTCTTTGTGTCGAGTCTGTTGGTTAAGAAGTGTTAACTGCACCAAAACCAGCGGCTTGGACAGGTGCTCTGGTACCTAGTGACGGTTGCTGACGAGGGGGATGCATTGCACTATCTATAAAGCAATGTGGCTCTGTCTAGGGTCTGACTAAACTCATCACATTGCTGTACTGACGTTCTTAGTTATATAAAGTTACTACGAACACACCAGACGACAAACACGCCCCTCGGCAGTTATTGATCTTTATTGGCTGTTCCAACAGCTGCACTGTCTAGTCGCTCTTCTGTGTTCTCGCGGCTGCTACACGTGGCTTATTTATAACAACCGTTCCCACTATCTCACACTTGGATTCTCTCTGCGGCTACCTTTCGGAAAATACATCTGGATCAGGCTAACATCCTGTTCCTGGTACCTGTACATAGCCAAAGCT